GTGTTTCTAAATATGTATATTCTGAGATCTATAACTTTTTCTCAGATCCTCCCAAGATTTTGTGAGGAAAAGATTCTGGACCTTAGGTTTACTGGTAGCTGGAGTTCAGTGTGTGGTGTGTCCAGCAGCCACTTCGATAGGTTCTACATTAGTAGGCGAGGGCTTAGCTTTTCTTTATTTAAAGGGGAAAGTATAACCTCTCTTGCAGTGCTTTTGCAATTCTTAATGCCAGTTTGAATCTTTCCCTCTAGAACAGTGGTTCTCAACCTGTGGGTCGCGACCCTTTTGGTGGTCGAACGACCCTTTCACAGGGGTCGCCTAAGACTATCCTGCATATCAGATATTTACATTACGATTCATACAGTAGCAACATTACAGTTATGAAGTAGCAACGAAAATAATTTTATGGTTGGGTCACAACATGAGGAACTGTATTTAAAGGGCCAGAAGGTTGAGAACCACTGCTCTAGAATATGGTAGATCTTTTACCTAAGAACAGTGGTTCTCAACCTTCCTAATGCTGCAACCCTTTAATACAGTTCCTCATGTTGTGGTGACCCCCAATTTTATTGCTACAAATCGAACATAATTAAAGCATAGTGATTAATCACAAAAACAATATGTAATTATATATGTTTTCCAGTGGTCTTAGGCAACCCCTGTGAAAGGGTCGTTTGACCCCCAAGGAGGCTGCAACCCACAGGTTGAGAACCGCTGACCTAAGAAGGTTTTAAAGTTAATGAAAAGTCAATCATCATTTTATCACCTTGTTACTAAATAATAGTTCTTATACTCTGGAAGTTACTGGAGATAGGATAGCCGACAATGTTTTGTATGCATTTGTTATAGTCAGTCTTTAATATATCCTGGTAAATGTCCTGCCACTGAAGAGGTTTGATCAGAGAGATCACTGAATGGAGGGTACTAGTGGCCATCAGGACAGGTTCCTAAGTCATTAGGGTTAAGAGTCATTTCCTAGAACATATTATTTCATAGTTTCCATTTTTGTAAAACAGATTAAAGATCTAGAAGAACCAGAGCCCAAGAAAATCAGGGGGTCGTCCCCTGGAATACAGGACACATGTGAAGCAGAGGATGGTGCCCTCGAGGTGGACGAGGCTCCTGAGGATGTAAGGCATTTCTGTTTCTGGTCTCTGATTGAGCTGAGTGGTGGGGAAAGTGAAAATTGTTATTGAATTTGTAATTCTTGGCATTGTTTTAGGGAATGTCTTTGTTATCTGCGTTTCTTAGTCGTCTTTTCGGAGGTTAACCTTCCTCTTCCCTGTTGCTTCTCCCGCAGCGCATCCTCACCTGCAGAAAAGCTGGTTCCATCCTGCGGGAAGGAAGGGACAGAGTCGTGAACCTCTCGACCGACAGGACAGGCAGGATGCTTGCTTGCCATGTGAGTTCCAGTCTCAGGAGGAAGTCACAAGGACTAGGCGTTCCTTTCAGAGACCTGTTCTTTCATAGTCTGTGTGAAGATGAGTTTTCCTCAGTCATGCTAAAAGTCATGGTGATACTGTGTGGACCTATAATCCCGAGCTTCTGTCAGCCACCACATTAATGATGGCTGTTATGTTCTTATGAGCAGCCATTTATTACATGCTTGCTTTCCTAAGCAGTCTCAAAGCATTAACTCTCACTTAGTCTTCAGAGCAGTGCTCTGAGTAGGAGGTGGTGTTCCCCCTTCACAGATGAGACAGTGAACCCAGAGAGATTAAGTTGTCCAAGGTGATACAACTAATAAGGGAAGAAAAGGAAATGGGTTTAGTTCTTACTGAGAAAAAGCTAGCTGACAAATTGCCCATCCTGGACTCAGTCAGCCTTTTATCTTCCTAGGGAACTGATTCTGTGCTGGAGGTGTTCTGCATCCTCTCCCGAGAGGAGATTCAGAAGAAAATGGATAAGAAGATGAAGAAGGCCAGAAAGAGAGCCAGGTGTGTTTCCTTCTGCTTACTGATAGTCAGGCATGCTGGGTGGGCCCACAGGGTACCCAGAGACAAATGGGTTAAGGAAATATTTACTCTGTTTTCAGTTACTGTTAAGAGCTAGGTGTTGAGGCATGCTGGTAGTCCAAGTTTACATTTCTACTGTTTAGTACGGCTTTTTAACTCTTGCATTCCAGTCTTGAACTCAGAGCAACACAGAGCTAGACAGATTTTTAAAAATCACTTCTAAATGAGTTAAATTCCAGAGAGCAGCCCTGTGTCTTCAGTGACAGCAGCCTGTACAGAAGGAAGCCGGTTGCACGATGCTCACCTGTGGGACTGTGAGAAGGAAGGCTGGTTGGACAGTCATGTAATTGAAGTCTGGAGGCTGTATAACCCTGAAATAGGACATTATAGTCATAGAAATTGGTTCCTCAATGGTTGAAACTTACCACATCTCAAAGAAATAAAAACTCACCTGATTAGACAACTCTTTTGAGATCTCTGGCTTATTTAACATGATTGGATTGAATTTTTAAAAAAATCCAGGTTAATGGATTTTCTAAAATGTCCTGAAGTTAGAAAAATTTACCAGATACATTTCAGTGGAATAGTTCAAATTACAGAGACTTGTCCTAGGAAATTGTATGGGCTCTTGCATTCAGAGCTCTCACCCCTCTCCCCGACTCCCCATTTTTTAAAAAATATATTTTTATTGATTCCGGAGAGGAAGGGAAAGGGATATAGAAACATCAGTGATAAGAGAGAATCATTGGTTGGCTGCCTCCTACATGCTCCCCAACTGGGGATCGAGCCTGCAACCTGGGCATGTGCCCTTGACCAGAATCGAACCCAGGACCATTAGTCCGCATGTTGATGCTGTATCCATTAAGCCGAACCAGCGAGGGCGAGCCCATTTTTTGAGAGAACCCCTTAAATGCAGTAATACTTTACATTTTTGACCCTGCAATGCACAGAGCATTTCTCCGCCTACTACATTTGTAGTTCTCACAGTCATCCTGTATGGTATGTGCCTCTCCCAAGATCACACAGGCTGTGAGTCTCAGAACCAGAACTTGACTCAGCTAGTAGCAAAGCTGCTGGAAAAGTGGTAGCATGAGTTTGTTTCCCTCTAGATTAAACTCTGGCAAAGGGGAGGAGGAAGACCTTGAAGTCAGTGTTGAAATGACTCTGCAAGATGAAATCCAGCGGGTGGCAAACATCAAAACATCTGCCAAAATCAAGTGAGTACGTGTGCAGTGTGTGACGTATCTGAGGAGTTCCTGCGGTGTTGTAGGAACAGCGAACAGCAGTGTTGTATTGACTTGGTTACGCAATTTGTTAGCGGCCTGTACGAATTGTGTATTTGGAGACGGTGATCGTGGGATGCCTGTGTCACACTCAGCTCCCGCTCCCTCATAGCGGGCACACTTAGTCGTCATGTCATTTTAGTTTTACCTTTTATCTATTTGATTACTATTCTTTCCTGCTGCCAATTTAAAAGAAAAATGTACTCCTCATATGCCGAAAGGATTTGAGGTCACTTACAAAAGATACACAAGAACAACATATGCCAGGTCCAGTGATTAAGCCCAGATTTCTTAAAGCTTACACTCAACTAGTATCCAACACTCAGAGTTCTCTTACATGTAAAATTCTTTACACTTGTTCACACTCGTATGGATTGAGGACGCTGCAAAGCCTTTGTCCTAGAAAAAGTTAACTGTGGGAGCTGAGACTTTTATGAATATTTCCACATGCAGATCCTTTGACCTGATCCTCTCACCTCAAGGGGAGTTAAAGGCCGTCTTCCTGCTGCAGAACAATTTGGTGGAATTATATTCACTGAACCCATCAGCGCCTGCACCTCAGCCTGTGAGGACGAGCAGGGTCACCCTCGGGGGCCATCGCAGTGACGTGCGGACTGTGTCCTTCAGCTCGGACAATATCGCTGTCCTTTCCGCGGCAGCCGACTCCATTAAGATTTGGAACAGGTTTGTGAAATGATCTTTCGGCAGCTTTATCCAGCAGTGTTTTCTTCCCTTTGAATAGTTCTTAATACTCTCCATGGTTAGTTATTAGTTTCTTAAGGCCTTAAAGGCAGTTCCATCCAAATGTATCTTTAGTGTTTTTTGAGTGTATATCTGTGGGGTTTAGGAAAAGTGGCCTTTTTGTTCCATGCAAAAAAAAAAAATGCAAACTTGTTCCATGTATGAAAGCTACAAGCTTCATGCTGGAGAGAAACAACCATACTGCCTACTTCTTAAATTCAGGTAGGCTCTTCGTGCTGTCCAGTAATGCCACTTTCCTGCTTCACTCCTCACTTTGCTGGGTGACTCTTTCACAACTTTTCTCAAGCACCTTTAAGCTGGTGACCTTGCTTCCTACTTCACTGGAAAAGTGGAAACTTCTAGAAAACGTTCATATGCCCCCATTACACCTGCCACACTCAGAACGTCTTAATCTTATCCAGGTTTCTGCCCTTCCTCACAGTCCTGTGTTAGGGCTTCTAACAAAATTAATCATCATTTGTGTGTGAGATGTGTGTTTCTCATCTCCTTCCTCGCAGATTTCCTCCTGCATCATTAGTTTCCCTTTCCATCAGCCATTCCATCAGCATACAGATGGGCTGTACTATCTCCCATCTTAAAAGAAGTAATAACCCTGTCTCATGCTCCTCTCTGTTCAGCTCCCCATCTGCCTGCTCGTCTCCATGCTGTCTGCATCTGTCTCCGTGAGGCTTTACCCCCACCGTGCCGCCAAAGCCGCTCTTGTCACCACATCAGACATCTTGTTTCTAAACCCAGCAACCCGTGAGCTGCATTTGACACTCTCTCTCTGAATTGATCACTTTCTCTTTGAAACACTTTCTTTCATTTTTATTACTTCCTCTCATGGCTGTTTTTTGTTAGTCTTTTCTGGATCCTTCTTACCTTTCATGTTGGAATGCTTCACGGGGGAGTCCTTGGACTTTTTCTGTGTCGGCTCTGTGTGACCTCCAGTCACACCTTTCTCTGTGCTGGTGACACAGGAGTTTATATCTCTAGCCTTAGCCTCTCCCTCCCCATCAGGCCCATTTATCCAGATGCTTTGTTTGTGTCAACACTTGGATGTCTAGTAAGCTTCTCAAATTTTTATATGTCCCGAACCAGACTTGTGATCTTCATTTCTTCAACAATTTTCCCACCTGCTTCTTAGAGACTTCCCCATCTTAGTACATAATTACTTCCTTCCAGTTCTGGCCCCAAATCCTTGCGGCCATTCTTGATTCTCATTACCCATGTCCAGTTCATTAGTAAACCCTTTACCTTCAAAATGTACCCAAATCCAACCACCTCATCACCTGCCCTGCCTGCACCCGATTCACACCATCATCTCTCCTCTGGACTGTTGAAATAGCTTCCTGGCTGGTCCCCCTGTAGCCCATTCTCAACACAGCGGTCTGTGTGGGAGTTATGTCACTTCCAGTAGCTCCATCTCACTCCAACTTGAAACCAAAGCCCTTCCAGACCTCATCTCTCACTGCTGCCCCGCCTGCTCCCATCGAGCCTCACTGGCTTTTTTTGTTTTCCCTTCAACATAGGAACATGCCTGTGTCATGGCTTCTGTGCTCCCTGTTCTTTCTGCCTGGGACCACCTTCCCCTTTCTTCTCATCAAAGGGCAGTCCTGCTGCCCTCCCCCACCCTTGCACTCTGCACACATACAAGCTCCCCCCACAGCTTTGTGTTTCTCCATAGCACCTGCTACCACCTGTACCAGGTAGACCAACATTTATCTGTCTCATTCCTAAAGAATGCTAAGCTTTATGAGATCCTGGCGCTCAGTAAATGTTTGATGAATGAAGGCATTTGATATGTATTTGTTGAATGGATGAATGTTTATGGTCCAATAAATGAACTTATAGGGATAGATAGAAATAAGCTAATTTGACTTGCAACCCTGAGCTCACTTCCGTGTAGTGGCAGGTGGGGTCTCTGAGCCAACAGATGCTTTTTCTGCCTGCTGTTGTCTAATTTCTGCTCCTCATGATGAGGAGGCTCCTGCAATGAAAACAAGCTTTTCTCCGTTGACTACAATTGGGTCTGAGCCAGGATTCTTCGGGCTTTGTCCTCTCTCACGTTGATTGCTTTGTATGGCTAAGTGTGCATTGAACGCACACCCTGACCTCTAAGGTGGGGAGGCAGGTTCTCTTCACAAACATTTATGTTCTGCCTTCTCTTTCATAGGTCTACACTGCAGTGTATCCGCACAGTGACCTGCGAATATGCACTTTGCTCATTCTTTGTACCTGGTGATAGGCAGGTGGTCATCGGAACAAAGGTAAATCGGGATTTTTTTCTTGGATTTTGGTGTCTATCCTACTCAGTATTCGAAAAGGTGTTTGAGAAACCTGGCTTCCTTTTTAGCATAGTGGAAGTGTGTTAGAGCTGGATAACATCAGGGTGTTCATTGTCTTTGTTTGGAGGGTTTTGCTTTGTTTCTAAGAAATCAAACCTTATGTCAATTATGTGGAAGACAAAGTCACGCCCAGAGATAACTGTCACTAACATTTTGGTGGTCAGGCTTTTGTGCATCTTTTTGAGCACATACGTGATTGTGATTTGCAAAGACTGACGATAAATACATTAAGTACCTAGCTTCATGCTTGGAAGATAGAAGCTTCAGTAAACACCTGACCAAGGCCTCATTCCCAGCTGCTCATCAGATTGGGGGCTACCATGTGGGAATGAGCAGATGTGGATTTGGAATCGGAATCTCTCCCTTAAGAAATGGGTAATTTGGAGCAAGTCCCATAATTGCTCTTAGGGAAGATATCCCTGAGAAGTCCCTTATCTCTATAATGGGATCATGAGGCTTGCTTCTGACAGCTTTCCCCCCAGATGAACCTCGGTTTGAATCCCACCCAGCCCTGCCACTCACTGGCTATGAGGCCTTTGGGCAAGTTACTTAACCCTGTAAGCCTTGGTTTTCTCATGCAAAATAACGTAAATAACCTGGCTCACAGCATGCTACTAATAAGAGCTGGTACCTTAAGTAGCAGTGATGAGTAGGAGTGAGAATAAATGGAGTAAGGTCTATGTGATGTTTTGAAAAGTTCTTTGCAAGTGTTTGTCATTTTTATCTCCATAAAACAGGGCCATGTGTGCATGATTATTTTATTAGAAAACCTGTGTAACACAGTGGATATCCTTTGCCCAGCACAAAGTGAAAAATAAGCTCGAGAGATCGTGGGGTCATTGTCAGGGA